TAAAATAATAAGTATGTCTGCCACAGATATATGACATCATTCTGAATAATGTAAGGATATTTGAATCAAGGATGCAAAATGTCAGAAAATTGTTTTCCCAATTAATTGGAAAGGATATCAGTTTCACTTCCTGTTTCAAGTATCCATACATTTTATAAGAAAATTAGAGTTTCTCATAAAATTTTAATATTCATTATGATACATTTCAAAGACCACTGCTGCTTAGGTCTAAGAAAACAATGTAATAAAAGGTAATTTTCGGAGTTTCTAAGTTGTAAAACTTATCAAAAACAGATTTTCCCAGCGTTTTCCTGGAAGTGTGTTTTCTCAGTGGGAATCAAACTGGAGATTTTGAGCATGAACTAGAGAATCCCTGATCTAAATGCCAACCTTCCTGTCAAAATCATTCATACACTCTCATTAAAAAACACTGCTTGTAAGCCTAAAAGACCAACAAATCATCTTCTTTACCATGTAGTTTTATGCCTCTTCAAGAAATACACGCCCTCATCTGCTTTGGCAGGCTCAGAAAGGGGTAATAAACATACAAACATAATTTGTGGCTTAGTGAAGCAGCAGCAACTCACACCAAAATAAAAAACAAAAAAAAAACACAAAGTCAAAGCTGAAAGTGAAAGCTATCAAAAACCTCTAATCTTTGCAACCTGCATAAAACCAGTCAATTTTCCCTGTGATCATATCTCTTTCCTTGGAGTCTTTTTCCTCCACTGTTATCAAGGGAAAGTGAAGAATCGTGTGCTGCGGTTGAATGCACGTGTGTGTATGGGTGGACTATCAAAGGTGCAATAGCGAAAGTGACTGCAAACTCTAGTAAGATCAAAACACAGCTAGCTTATCATAGAAGTACAGAATCAATGAAAGAGGAGCTAATTCCACTTCTGCTTGCTCCAAAATGCCTCAGCAGCTCGCAGAGGACAAGTGTTCTGTCTCTGACTGTCACAGTGACTTTTAAGCTGCGTCTTGAGTACTAGTGCCTTTTTGTTTCCAACATTTCTTAGGCTGCACTTGGAAAAACACATTAATTCATATAACTTTGTTACATGGCCGTACACCTACAAACCAGGCATGCAGATCAATAATCAGAGACATAGCCTATAGGTGGAGGAACTGTACAGATCCTCATTATCAAAATGGACATTGTCCAAAAAGGACGATGATTAGAAATTTGCCTCTTAAATATGATATTTATTTAACAATGTCAAGAAGAAATCTTGCTTGCAATTTGCTTCAAGCCATAAAGGTGGTCTTGATAAAATGAATAGAGTATGTCTGCCTACCTATACTGACAGACGTCTTGCAGTTTAAAATGGTCTCATGTTTGTTCAAAGCTTTGAACATTTCATACAGCACAATACTCCTCCAAAAAGGGAAGAAAGTATGACATAACTGTAAACCTATCAAGACATGAGTGTCCACCTCAACTGATAGGCCTCGCAAGGAAATCATAAATCAGAGACCAAGGTAACTCTAGAGGAGGGTAGAAATCAATAGCTTGGGTGGGAGAATCTGTTGACATGACAAGAAGTGATGCATACAAAATATTCAGCCTTCAAATGTTAGCAAAAAGAGGGACATTGCTAAAAAAGCCACAAGGAGTTCTATTTAGGAGGCAGAGAAGCTCGAACATAAGTGAATTTTTTGAAGCCATGAAAAACACTAAGCTGCATCACCACGTGTAGTGGTGGCAGGATCAGACTGTGGGGAAACCTTTCTTCAGTAGGGACTGGAAAGCTTGTCAGAGGTGACAGAAAAATACCCAAAACTTGTTGTGGTAAAGCTCACAAAAGTCTTGTGGCTGAGTCCATGCAGTTCACTTTTCTGCAAAGTGATGATCCCAACCATTTAGGTATTGCTGCAATGTTAAAACTCAACTCAAAACATATACGTTGTGTTAAAAAATCCCAGTTCAAGTCCCAATAAAGCAGACTGACGTTTTTAGTTGTAACATGAAAACATGTGATAACTTGTACTTTTGCAAGATTCTGTCACACCTAAAACTGCATTCAGCCACTAAGAGTAACTTTGCAGCCACCAGTGGTGCATGTAGTGCTCTATATATAAACTTCTACTATTCCAGACAATAAAAGTGCCTTGTGGGACTCGTAAGTCTTCCGATCAGTAAACAATTGGAATAGTTCTATGTTTGTAGGAAGATAGTTTCCCATCCAAATAAAAAAGCGCTGCACACTTCCCTCAGTACATGCTTCCACTATGCTGGGAGCAGAGCCACGTTGCTAAATGCAGCTTTGATATCAGTTGAACCAATATGGTTTATCTCCTGGGGCTTGTTATATATTAAACATCCACACTGACTCCACAAGATAAATCATATGAGCTGTCACTCTAAAAGAGACATCTTAGACTTTAATTTGCATTGAAACATCCTGCCTCATTTAAAAAGCCAAGTAGATAAAAAAAAAAAAAAAAAAAAAGGAAAGGCGCAGAGAAGGACAAACATGTAAGTGACAGACTTCTCATTGTCAGAATGTAATCTGGCATTTAAGACTGCAGTAATCCCAGGCTATGCAAGAGTAGGGCTGTACTGGAACTGACAGAGCTTGGTGATTTATATGACGAACGCTGGCTTCACGTTAAGTATCACATTATCGCAATGACAGCTGTAGCTTATGAACAGGGCCTTTAAGTCACAGGGAAGTGCACATGTGCCTACTGATGAAAAGTTGTGAAACTGAGCAGTGGGCGTTTTCTTCTGTGTGGTTTTGTTAAACGTGTCCGTGTATGCAACTTATGTGTTTGCGTGCCTGTGAGTATGTGTGCCTGCAGCAGATGTGAGTGTGTTCCATTTAGAATTGGCCTGTCAGTCTCAGTGAAGTGGGGAGAGGAGAGAGACGACAGGTGTCAGGACTGAGAAGGAGATGGATGAGAGAGCAAAAGAGGAGGAAGAAGAAAGCAAAGTTTGTTCAGCTGCTGGAAATTTCTTGTTCTTTACTCAATAAAGAAATGCTAATGAAGATCCAGTGGGAATGACAGAGCAATGTTTGGTATAGTCCAGCTTTGAAAAAATAGAAAAGGGAAGCTTTAATAACATTTTTGAACATTCTGGGGATTTCTCGGACACACTGCTGAAAAGATAAAAAAAAAGACTGTTAACACTGAAAACAGAGTTCTTGTTAGTTGTACTTTTATGTGACTCATGAAACGATGTACATGTAAAATATAGATAAAAACAGTGAACAAAGTTTAAAACAGCGGTAAGGCAAGCAAAACACACACAGACATCAACTGTGACAAGTGCATACGTCTTGGTCCCACTTTTGCTGCCATTAATAGCTTTGAAGCGTCAAGGTTGGGACTCCGCTAAACCCTTAAAGATATAATGTGGCATCTGAAACCAAAATGTTAGTAGCATATCCTTATAGTCCTGGAAGTTGTAAAGTGGGGCCTTTAAATATCAGACTGGTTTCTACAATACACCACATAGATGCTTAGTTAGTTACGAGTTGTAGTCAGAACAAACACTCTCTCTCATAAGACTGTTAAGGTCACAAACAGTGCCTTTAAGGTAACACAAGTTGTTTGGATTGTCACCTGACGATCCAAACGCACCAATGTAACCAGGGTTCGCCTTTACAGTAACACATCCAAACACACGTTCTGCAGAGCGGTATTTTAGCAGGAGTGCCTAACACCAAAGAACAAACTGATCGTGTGAAGTTTTGGCAGTTAATGTGCATCAAGGGACGGGAAACTCGTCCGATAGCTGGTAAGGACTGAAAGAATCCAAAACACAGGACAACATGGATAATGTGGCTTCATGTTTTATCTTCTAGAGTGACTTGACTTGTGTCCTCATAGTTGGTGAAATTTTTGAATCATCAAGTCACAGTAGACCCAACATTAACTAAAAGGAAGGTATCATCAGCAACCCATGTGGCCTTCACATCAAGTAGTAACATTAATGCGCCACATACAGTAAATGTTCTGACTACTTTTCAGGAGATCCATCTAAAGTGCATACGTTCATTCAGAAACATTCAGAAATCTATGTGCCACACTGTTATGACATTGGTGATGTGGAAATTAATTTTGTTATCATAAAGTACTTTTAATAACATTTTATATTTGTATAATCAATAGCCTTTTGTAGAGAAATAGTGGTCAATTTGCAATACACATTATTAATGTTCTGTAATTTACCTTACAGGATAGGGAGGGATACAGAAATGGTATGATTATGAAAGTAAATGCATTTTGTTTTGTTATGGTGTGAAGTGTTCCCTGCTGCTACCTCTCTCCTTAGATCTGCTCCCTAAAGGTCTTGGAGAAGGATGGTATAAATATTTCACTAAACTGCATTCTCAGGTTATCAATTATAAAATGCTATCTTCGTATAAATATTCTAAAAATACAGCTGGACTCTGCTTCCTCCTTGGCATATTAAAAATTCATACACACCTAGCATTCTGCGAAGTCTCCATCCACACAGGACCCGTAAAAACACAGCTGCTGAAATGTATGCAGGGTGTTCTCGCTTTTAGGGGGTTTTGTTTGCATGTGGGAGCATGTTTTTATGTGTTTGTTTGTGTCTAGAAAATCTTTGGTGTCTGTACGACACATTTTGTTGGTGAATCAGATAAGCTCAGTGGAAGCTCAGAGGGTGGAGAGAAAGGTCAATTACACCGAAGAGTAAAACACATCTAGTGCTTGGACAGGTCTATTTTATTGCTAGTCTTTACATAGCCCTCAAAAATAAATTGAAAATGTTACTTTTTTAGCCCATAGTAGGGTATATCCTGTTCAAATGCAGCGTAACAATGTTTTTGAGTCTGTCTTGTTTGATGCATGTGAAACAAGACAGTTTTTAACCAACGTCAAACTGAAGATTAAAGTTTCTTTTCTGTTTTGAGAAAGAATGTCAACATAAACTGGACAATTAAATCAGGGGGTCCCCACTCAAGCGCAAATCAGATTGACACGTATACGCACACATGCACATGATCGATCTCAAGCACACCGACCTGGGCGAGATGTCACAGCCTTGTTGCATGAAGGCTCCCAAAGAAAACCACAGAGAGTTAAAGATGCCAAACTCATTTGGAGGCTGGTCAGTGGGGCCCTGCTCAGTGGCACCCTCCTCTGGTTCCTCTGCGTGCCATTCGTACGGACTGAAGCGGCTTACCTGGAACAGTGAAGGCAGAAAAATGTCAGCTAATTTCTAGGATCAACGATATCCATCCATCCACAGAATCCGTCCTGACAGATTCTGTGTCTCATTAAGCAAAACATTTAATAATTGCACTTAGACTGGTGTCTGCCTTCATTTATGCTGAATGACAACACAACTTTTAAAATTAGAATATTACATCATGTAAAAATCTACCGGGATGTTGACTTAATGGAAAGTACGTTTGACACCTCTCAAAGGTTGTTATTTTCAAAAGGTGCTTTTAATCTCAGAGATGAGCCTCATCAGAAGCCACATTCTCACTTAATTGAATAAGACGGTACCCGAAAAGCACTCATATCTATCTTAGTATGACAGCGTACTGGGACTGATAGGACACCTTTTTCCTTCAGAACTACTTTAAACCTTCAGATTTAAGGTTCAACAAGGCGTCGGAAACATTCCTCTGAGATCTTGATTCATGTTGACTTGATACAGACAGACTTGCTAGACAGATTCGTCAGCAACACATCAACAACTCTTGTTTCAATCCAGCTACCATAAGATTGTAACTTCTGAGGTCACTGGGTTCAGTAAAAGCATTGTCATATTAAAGAATCTGGCTTGAGAGGGTTTTGACTTTGTGATAGTGTGAATTTACTAAAAGGAAGAAGCCATCAGAAGATTGGAACAGGAACAATACAGCAGCGAGAAAACCCCAATATTCCACCTCCACCAACCTGAACTTTTTAAGCAAGGTAAGGTGAACTATGGACTCATGGTCCTATGTTGCTTACACCAAATTCTGACCTTACCAAGTTTTTACCCTCTTTTGGTGGACCTGTGCTTCTTTATTTAAGTGAGTTACACAGATAAAATTGCAAAATAACTAACTTATGCTGAAAAACTGTAAAGACACTGTAAAACGCTTGATTCTGTCTAGAAATCAAACTGAATTATAAACTTTGTCATGTACAGCTGGCTTTTTCATCTATGGTCCAAAGCCTTAAATAACCCATCTGTGCAGTCTGGCAATTCAGACGGTACACATGGGTGTACAGTTTCTATGAATCACTTACCAAAAACAAGACAACGCTGACTCCAATATAAGCAAACACTATGCACATCCATATCTCATAGGCCAGTGGGTCCAGGAAGGAGAAGACACCTGGTTTAGACTTCTGAGGCTTTTTGATCATGATGGAAATTCCAAGAGACATGAAGGGTTTAGAGAAATCAATCACTTCTTCACGCACCAATGTTATGGTCAGTGGGGCCACAGCAATTTCTGCTTTCTGCAAAGAAGAAGGGAAAGGCCAGGGACTTTATATCAGTCACATTATTGCACAATTAACTTCTCAAAGATTACATATAATATAGATAAATGGAAGGGAATGTGCAGTGAACACAGAGTAAAGGAAGGGCAGACATGGACTGGTATTGCAGACGAGGGAATAGAGAACCAGTGGAAGAAGAGGGCAACCCAGAATGACACAGGAGTAATTTATACAGTATGTTGGCCGGAGAGGGACATATCCAGCATATAAATGAGTCTCAAGGTCTAACTGGCATCTGCATGCAACAATGCTTGCTCGTGCAGAACACAGATCTTTTAAGTATCTAAAGTCAAAGTGGAAGAAAGTGGTAATAATTAATGATATGAAAATCTATTCTGGCTCAAATAACCAATAATGGGGTATGAAAGATCAACTTTGATCATATAAAACCCCAGTGAATATTGCATTTAAACTTACTGCAATTTCCCAAACTGTTTTCATACCAAAAAGGAAAATGAACAATGAAAAATAATGACTTTAAACTTTATATTGTTCATTTTTCTGTGCCTGAATCCTGCTCTTAAACCGCAGTAATCACACATTGCTGAAGTTCACCTTATACTTCACTGAATAAACATGGGTGATTTCCTCACAGAATAAAGCGGATATCTAAAATGTTCTTTAACAATGAGGTTGACTGACTATTGGTTTAATGTGTATTATAAACCACAAACTACTGCAAAAGATAAACTATTCTCCATGTGAGACAAAGCAATTCTTCAAAACATTCAACAAATCTGACAAGCATTTTATTCTTTATTCATTTATTGATTACAGGTCAAAAGAGTAAAGTTTTAAAATAATACCCTTAGGCTCTTTGACAGACTATCATGGGCTATTTTCAATACTCCTCAGAGGTTTGATGCTAAAGCAGCTTCAGAAACAATAGAAGATAAATTAACTGATAATGCTGTTATTCTGGAAAATAATTAAAATTTAGTCCAACACTTTTATTTTGTAGTATTTCTAAAGCCGTGAAAGTAAAACTGAGCTTTACACCTCTCTACATTACATGATAAAGGAATAATTAAAGCTGCATTTCTTACAACTTCCACTGAGAACTAAAGGCCACAGGATGAAAGGACAATTATGTATTAAATGTAGAAAGTTTCGCTATCCTAGACTTTTTCAAATCTCTTCAGTTTATCTGGATTTTTCATAATGTTACCATTTGCAATAGCTTTAGAGGATGTAAGTGGACAACTCATAAAATTGTTCCAAATGATTAGGGACCTTTTTTTTTTTTTCTGCAATAAATCTGTTCAAAATAGACTCTGTTTAGTTAAATTCACAGTTATTTGTGGGTTCTAAATCTGTGCAAACAGGAAATTGAACAACTTTCTAATTCCAAACTTTGACACAAAGACATGTCCACTCAAAAACAGCCATGCTGACAAAATTGATTCTCTCTAAGCCGTTTGCACACATTTCAACATTTATTATTTTGCATGTCTTCAGGTAATGTTAACCCATTTTTTGTATGTTTAAAAATATATTAAAAATGTGTATGCTTTACATATTTTCACTTAATAAAATTGTTTATTACTTAAATAATTTGGAATAATATTAAAATTATTTTAATAAATGCTAAGAATACAAATAGCATTGAATTGTCAAAAAAACTTTTGCTCAATTTTGTCAGGACTTGAAGTCACACCAGTAAATTGCCACATAAAAAAGACAATATAATATTTTCTCTGCTTCTTGATCACTTATGCTCTGTCTGTGTTATGGGTTGAAGAGAGGACAACTGCAAATTCAGTCAAACTTATAACGTCATGTTTGCATCTGCATGTGTTTCGTCAAAATGTCTTAGTGAATTTCGTTGCACTAATTCACGAAGACAAGACAGACTGAGGAAAAACAACTGCAAACATTGAGCAGACTGCCATCTTTGTGAATTCCTAACTTTGAAAAGACAAGATGGGAAAACACGATTTGCTCACATTTCTGTCAGTCAAAAGACTCAACTCCACAAGGAAACATTAATTCACAAGAAAATGTGTGTATATTGCTAGTATATAGCTGGAGTACATTTGAGAGTCTTTTTAAAGGACAGTGAGTGTTTTGTGTGATTCAAAACAGATAAATCAATGCAACAGTTTTGAGTCACCTTCCCCTATAAGTTGTGGAGGGTAATTGATTCAGTTGCTGTTCTGGAGCTCCTTCTGTGCTTCACTCCCCTAAACAATAACTGACATTGTCCGCTGCATGACAGTAAAGTTGACATTCAGGCAGCTATGTGAAATCAAAGGCGTAATTAATGAGCTTGGCAAATCCCCCATATATAAATAACCACTGCATGACACAGCATCTCTGTGGGAGCCAAACATGGTTACTAAGGAGACAGAAGCCTGGGGACAAGTTTATGTGCAGCATCAGAGTTATTTAAATTTTTTCTGCTGGTATGAAATGGAACTCTGCAATCTATAGGACCTGTGCAAGATCATCATGACTGAGATGTCCCAGACTGCTGTTGATTTCGGAGCCAGCTTCATAAGGTCTGTACACCTGTCTCAATTAATTCTCAGAAGATTAGAATTGTATAGGACTCATAAGAAAGGCTTTCCAGTGCTTAAATGTCATCCTTAACATTAAATGCATTTACTACATATAAAATGTGCTAAGAACTTGGCCTGGGTCCTTCAGAAAAAGGCAATCAATGCTTGTGGTGCTGATGAGGCGTTAAGGATGCCCAGGTTGCTTTAATACTTTCCTTCAGCTCTTCTGTATTGTAGTTTCTGGCTTCTCTCATCTTCGTCCTAACAGTTCATCCTCTGTGGGGTTTATTAGGCCCACTCTGTGGGCAGCAATTTTCATTAGCATTGACCTTTTGTGGAGGGTGACAGTGGCAATCTGCTGGACAACTGACAAGTCAGCAGTCTTCCCGTCATTGTATAGGCCATCCAAACCTAAAAAACGTTGTCAATTAAGCAACGTTTAAAGAGCAAGCAAATACAATCTAAATCCAATGTCTTACAATTGTCTGAATCGTCCCATTTTGATTTTTTAAACACCCCCAAAAATCTGATTTGAGCCATTTCCATAGCATTACATTCCTAAAATAATGGCCCAAGTAATTTCTTGCCCAAAATTATTATTCAGTCAAAAATTGGAGCATCACTTTTTGTTGATGCTCCAATTTACTAAGACGGACTTCTATAAAATTTGTGAACCTGAAATTTATTCAAACAGCACTGCAATACATTTTAGTTGTCTAAGAATGAATCCAGCTTATTCTTGTCCTGTTTCATCCTTACCCCATACACAAGCTCTCCCACCATGCCATTCCATATTTTAGTCTCTGGGTCTCTGGCTCCATATTTTCCATCAGGAACAATAGAGATCTTGTACTTGATTCCGATGTGCTTGGCAATCTCTGAAGCCAGGTCTACACAATATCCTTCATATTGGTCGTTGCCTTCGTAAAGCTCCCAGTTCTTCTTCTGCATCACATACGGACCCTCCTAAAAAAAGATCAGCATAAGGGGAGAAAGACATCTGTTTGGAGGAGCGCATCAGCAGAGAGAAAATTGGTTGTAAAGTGTGCACATAAGAAAAACAGTTAAGAAAGATGAAGACATAGATGTTAATATTGTAAAAGGAAAATGAGGAAAGAGGTGAAGGGGAAAAGGGTGCATGTTTGCAAACACATTGTTGGTAACAGCACTTCCAATTAAATCCTAAAAGGGACAGACTTTTTTCATTGAGATAAGAACCATAAGTGATATTTTAAAAGAAAACTACACAGACAAAGGCTTCCTGTCTTCCAATGCATTGTTTTTGCCTTCATGCCATTTTGCATAATTCCACTGAGATTCTCCTTTGACTCAGATCTCAGCTTCTCAGATCTGAAGCTGAGAAGACAGAAATGAACAAAAAAAAAAGAAAGAAACTACGAGATGTCTGCCCACATGAGCAGTAATAGGTTGGAGGATTTTTTTTTTATGCATGTGGTTAAAGATCAAAGGAAAAAGAGACACGCAGACAAACATCACTGCTTATAAGTGATTTATAAAGAGTAAAGACTCCGTCTGGTAAATGACAAGTTCATCTTTGAGAAGCAGTGAGTTATGGCACTAAGCTTGAGGCTGTTCACACTGTAATCCACATGAAAGCAAGCCTATTAAAATCTTATCAAGCCCATTTTAATCAGGAGACTAATCTCATCTAATTAAACAAACAGGCCTTTGCAATACCCAACACTCCGAAGCCATGAAACAGTTTATGAGAGCAATAAAACACATAGAAAAAGATAACATGCTGCGAATTGAATAGTTCATTCAGGAAATTGTTCACATTCCACACAAGTGCAGTTTAATCAAGGAAGAATTACCCACTAACATGCTTGAAAAGGGGTCAAACAAGCAGTAAAACAACCCAACAAAGATCTTTACTGGGTCTGCAGGAGAATCATCAAGCCAGAAAAAAAAACCCAACAACTTATGTTTCTCTTCTGTATATCAGTTTGTAAATAATTGTATAAAAAACCAAGGAGAGTACCGTCATCCTCTGCTGGACTCTATGTAGTGCCACACAACACATTTTAAAGCTTATGCTACGTTTTTTTCTTGAATTGCCATGTATGCTTTATTTATCTAAAAGCCCGTTTTTTTAGCAATTTGCCTAATGACTGAACTTGAACTTTATAAATAAGGTTTCATTGAAAACCTTTGAATTTACTTTGTTTTTAGTCAATTAGGTTAATTGGTCTAGTGTGTCTTTGTGTTGCTCTGTGATGTTGTGTACCATATCACTTCTGCAGTGACTCCTGGGGAAGAGTCACTGCAGAACAAGTGGGTATAAACAATGGGAGGGTGACCAAACTGAATTAGTCAGAAAATAAGAACAGCTCCACTGTCAAGTCAGCAATCACAGGTATTGAGTGTGACAGATATGAGTGAATCGTTGTCAGTGCCGACTGAATGCCTGCATTGTGTAGCAGTAGATTAAGTCATTTTAATAGCCTTTGGTCAAATTTAATGGAAGTGAGAAAAATGTGATGTGGTTTCTTTATTGTGTTGTGTATCTTTATATTCCCCTAAATGCAGGGTACATACTGTAAGTGAAGATGTAACAAGGATCTGTAATATCTTGTATTTACTTCAGTGAATAGAAAGCTATGTATAATACATGTATTTGACAAAAAAAAAAGTATATTAACATTGCACAGTAAAATGACACCATGCTTTATTGAAGCTATTACATAAGTTTCACTGGTTAAGTTTTAAAATCAAACACTTATCTCAAAACTAAAGTACATGTAAATGACTGAAGGAAACCATTAACCAGCTATAAGTCATTTGAAAATATTTTGTCAAATCAGATCTTCATTTCTATTCAAATGAGAATTAAATTAAATTATATTCGTTTTACTATAATTATCCAAAACAACATTGCCAACATCATTAAATTAATAATTATTACTCTTAAGGTCAAAACACACAAAGAAGAGCCCTTCTTCTTCCCACCTCCCCCTCAAAAATGCTATTATTAGAGACATTAGAAATTCCTGGGGCTCATTTAATAGACTCAACATGAATCATAATGTCAATGACCAACAAAACAATTAATTCCCTTTAACAGATCTGCAGAGCCATCAGCACCACTCTGGGGAAAATGAGCAGATCTGAAACTCTTGTCTTGAGTGCAAAAAATCTAAAAGGATTGTATATTGCCTAACATTTTGTATTTCATTATTTGTTATTTTAAAGCTCAAATGTTGGGAAAGTGTTGTAAATAACTAGACTCCACTGCATAAACATTAACTCATTCAACAAATTTAAACAAAACAAAAATGTTAAACACAATCTAGACCAACAAATAATTCATCTGAGAAAAAGAGGTAAAGCTTGGATATCGTGGTGTCTGATGACACAGCTTGGTGTGTCTGGAAAATACAAAAGAATAAAAAGTCCTACACTGGGACTGATCGGATAAGGAAAAGAATGAATCCCAACACAATGTGGAGACAGACCAGATATGGAAAGTGTGCAATCGAGGTATATGGTGATCTATATGTTGTTTAAAGCCCTGTTAAAAAGGCCAAACTGATATTTAAAGCATAATAACATAAAAAAATGAGAAGAATGGAAACAAAATGTATAATAAGAGTGAGGACCATTTAAAAGAGCATCATAAATGGTCCTGCGATATTTCTCTATGTGGAAGTGCATTTACAGTTTGTGATGCTTATGAGAGGAAAATGTGATCCATGGTAGATCTATGGCATCACAAATCGAAGAGAGGCCTCAAATAAGCAGAGAAAAGAGGCAGCAGGATTAGAAGTAATGAGGTCAAAATGTTGAAAGAGGACATTGGAAAAGAAAGATTATAAAAAATTGTGTTTATAGGTGTGTTTTCTTGAACGGTGCAGGGAGGGTGGTCAATGCTTTTCTCCAAAACAAAACTGAAACAAATAAAAGACTGCTGCAGGGAATGCAAAAAAGAAAAGGAGAAAATAAGAGAAATTGTGTTGTGGTTGGAGGAAGAACATATATAAAAACATATTGAGAAAGGAAGAAAAAAAGAAACAAAGAAGAGGGTGGCTTAAAAACATACCTTAGGAGGAAAATTGTTAGAGTTAAAAAGGGAACCAAGCTTTGTAGAAGCAAATGTTTGGGGCTGATAAGACATGAAACAGACTAACTGGAGCCAAAAAGATAGATAGAACTTGTTATCCAATCCAGTTGGCAAGTCAGTAAACAACAAAACCGCCTCTGTCCAGCTATTCATTCAACCTGCCAACCAGAACAGACCCTCCATCAATTCAGCATTTTAAAAGATTGTCATGTTAAACTGTTTCAATTTGCCAGGATGTTTAATTTGCCTTGGAGACATTTATGCAGATAAGCAGAGAGAAGCATGCCAGGCATTCAGTCAATTACAGCTTCAGCCAGTGAACTTCTCAATATGCTCACTTTATTATACAATTACTATGATTATGGAATATAATCTATCCATATTTGCCTATTTTGGCAACCTTATTGTCTGCTGGTCATTTAGCCAAAAAGACTCTAATCAAATTTGATTCTAAAACAAAGGAATCACATTTTTCAACATTGGAAACTGCCTCACAGTTAGCCAGGAGTGGTGTCTGAGTGAAACTTAAGCAGAAAATTGTAAGAGTGTGCTTTTGTCTACTTATTTTACAGTACTGAGGATATTCTCTGCAGTGTGATGAACTGATAAGGTTCTGAAATTTGTCAGGTAAGATGCTTTTTGGCACTACATAGCATTTGCAAATTTTATTTGGGTAAAAAAAAAAAAAACATGTCTCTTTTGGATATTATCACTTATTCCTTTAAAGACAGGAAGAAGCGTTTCTTTCGCATCACTTGTCAGTTCTGTGGTTGAGAATACCAAACCAAGAATAGCAACAGAGAAGGAATGTAAATAAAGGCTACTTACAGTCAATTGATATAGGGACTCTCATTATTGATGTGCTATTTTATGTTCTATCTGTTGATAAATGAAATTCAATCAGTGTAAATTATGTGTTTTACCTGAAAACTTTGGGCACCAAGCAAATTGAAGCAATTAGTCATCAAACAACATGTTCTTACATTGTGATCAGTCCAAAACCTTTTTGTTTTTTTTGTTGTATTTCTGGAATATATATAAAAAAAAGGCATGATTACATATAAAAACAAATAATCAAAAATATTAGGATAATATCTGTGCCATCTACGAGGTGTCTTATGCCATATTATCCACTCTGTTAAGGAATGTTGATATTCATAAATACACATATTGGAGTACATCTATGCCTGTGAAGTGCAATACAACAGAATACTTAAGCATATAAACATTTATGATGTCTGATTTATAGCAGTATTTCAAAAATGTATCAGTACTGGAAAGGTACGACATGAAATTTATGGTGAGACAAAATGATAGTATATATTATTTTAACAATGTTTTTCTTTTTCTTTTTTTTTTGTCAAATACATTTTTATTAGCATAAACTTATGTTTTCTAGCACTTACTTTCACTTTGGTGTGTCTGTTCAAACCTTGTCTTCAAACAGAAAAGGCAAGTTGCCTGATCAGGCTTGACTGAGTGGATTTACAGAGAGACAGAGCAGAAAAATAAAAATGGAAGGAGAGCTCCAACCCAAGGTGAAGGATGCACAAAAGAGGAAGGACACTGTCCTGTAAACTCACTTTGCATACTCTCTCTTGAAATATAACACTTTTTTCAAGACTTTTTATATACAATTATTAGGTTTTTCTCAGAGGTGAAACCAATAATGTAACAGTGAACACCTTGACCTAAAAACACACACAAAAAATCCGAAATGATAATGCTGCTCCACACTTAGATGGCATTGTGCAGTCAAATGTCAAACCTTAAAAGATGCTACAGAAACTCTTGCTCAGTTACCGTCCAACTGAGACTTTTCTCTTGAGGGACGTAAAGCAACACAACCCAGGCGACTCCTGATCCTGCTTTTCTTCTATGCGCT